CCGACGTAGAACTTAAAAAAACTAAAAAATTAATAATAATTTATTTTAATGATCACCGCGTGTTGACGTGTGCAACTTCAGCAATTACATCGAATGTTTCTTTTATTAAACTGAACTGGAGTGGCGGAGGAAAGCGGCGGCAAAGCGGCGCGGGCCCGTCGTTAAAACAGCCCACCGAGCGTGAACGAACAGCGCCGCGCAAAGCTCCACGATCGCACGGCCCGCGACACGACACGTGTTTCATGATAGTCCACCACTGCTCTATTTGTTACTAGCTTTATCTAAAATTACTTTTATGTATGTGGGATTACATAAAGGTCCACCTAATCGGTGTTCTGTCACTGAGCTAGTATCAGTTTGTTATCTTGTGTCTTTGTTCGTTACACAACTAGTTAGCGAAATAGGATCCCACATGATGGTATGCAATGACCGGTGACGATGAAACCTCGCAACATTAGAGATATTGCTGGGGCGTTGCCAGTTTTATCTATTTCTCCTATGGAAGCAAGATGCCAAATTATACTGTTTTTATCCTAACTTCATAATTACCATCATCATCAGCGTTTGATAGTCCACTGCTGGACGCAGATCCTTAAAAAAGAGGTTTTGACTTGCCACGCCAGACGGGTTGGTATTGGGTCAGTTTCTCTTCCCTTTGAAAAACTGTTGTCCTGCATTGTTTGCGCTTAGTCGGCTCTTTCAACACTCACGGGAGGAATAGGAGTAGTGATACTCCGTATTTTTAATTCGTCACCAGATAGACATCTTAATCATTCACCACACGGACATCTTAATCCGAAACCACACAAACTATTTAAAAACGAAAATAATCTGGTAGAAAATTCTATGACACACCAGAACTTATCGTGGAGACATTGTACCCGGTGCCGCAGTGTGGCGCAGGGCTGGAGGGCTGTTGAAAGAAGTAGTGAAGAGTGGCGCGACCTGCATGTGTGGCGATTACACCGCTCACATACGCTTACATAATTATTGCAGCGTTGCAACAAAATGCGCCCTGGCTGTACAACGTACCACCAAAAAGGTTTCGACTACATTAGAAAATCGTTAAATATAACCGTTTAATATAGCGTAGGATTTTCTGTAAAAGGTTCTTAAAAGAAGTTGTTTCAGTCATTCTACTAGCAGTTGACAAAAAGATTTTATTAAAAAAGCAGCATTAGAAATGCGATGTTATAACTGTCTCACCTCGTTTAACAGCTATTTAACATCGTTACTTGTCCTTCATTACACATCGGTCATCATTTAGTCACTACTCAAAATATTGTAGTTACACAATGAAACTTGTGCATTAGTTAACCGAGATTTTTTAATAGAGCTGGATACTTCAAATCATTCGGTTAAAAGATAACCTCTATCCTAAAAGTAGGTAGTTTGTGGGAGATAAGTAAAGCAATATTACATAGTTTGTATTTTAAATTAAAATTTTAGGACGATGTTTTACTCGCTTTTTGTCTGTAATTTTAGACAATCAAGCAAAAAGTGCTACACGCTCACAAATATTCTGTTTCTTTTTCCAAAAACAATGAAATGAAATAGAGAGGTATAAAGTGCATATGCATAATATTGGTGGTGAGTGTAGCACTTCTAGCTTCAGCCCCGAGTGTATGTGTCGCGGCACTGGCAGTACTCGGTGCGGTCGCATTCGGCGGCTTGTTATAAGTTCGCCAAGAATGAGAACTAGTTTAACTCGGTTAAGTTTTAGTATAATTCAAGTCCAAGTGCCTAACTGCCGCGCCACATCGACACTCCACACCGCCGCAATCGTCTAGATAGGCAGGCTCGGGCCAGCGTGGTCAGCGAGGTTCCACACAGTCCTCAAAAATGTTTTTTTATTTTACTTATTAGGTTTACCCACGTCTCTTTGCACTAAACACCAAAATGTACATGATCGAAGTAAATATATGTAAATGGTTGCTTCCTCAAAACGAAATAATTCAGTCCTCTTTTCTGTTCTCCTTTTTATGTTTGGTAGCAGTTATCGAGCTTCCAATGAAATAAAATTAGAAAAAGTTTATCTTTTTCTGCCTTTGACTGGGTTTTATTGTTAACAATAATTTAAGGAATTGCCGTCGAAACGAACCTCTTGGCGACCACTAGTTCATAAAAGTTCACTGTTCATATTATAACACTAAGTACGGTTATCTAATTTTACATAAAAGTTCACTGTTCATATTATAATACTAACACTAAGTACGGTTATCTAATTTATGAAGCTTACTTAAGAGTTGTTTTAAAATTAGTTAGTTTTAAAGTAAGTTTAAAAAAAAGAACGGTTGCTTAAAAAAATACCACCACTGTGAGTAAACCATTCGAAAATCACTCGTTCTGTGACACGTCACGGGGAGCGCTTCTTTATTACTTTTGTATTTAAATATCAACATCGCACAGGTTTAATACATTAAGATGAGGCGCGTACACACATACCAGCATAGGTACATCTACATCCGTACATAGACTTTCGTATTGTGTGCATAAGATGCACAGAGTAGCGCACATACCTCGCTGCTGGTTCACGGCATTAATTAGCAGATATAGGAGACAAATATCATCTACATATTGATACGTATAATGATTGTTTTTAACAAAAATGCAATGCACTACTTTACACAACAGCAGCGCCGTGATCGCTGCGTTACCCGCACTGGAGTGTAGAGTGCACTAACCTCGCGACAGCATACTGTGAGACCTTGCTTCTAATCAATTTACATGATGGGCAATGGTTCAATGGGCAGTATCCAATACTTTTTGATTTATATAAGAAGTGTCAACACATGCAAAAACTAGCTGACCCGTGCAACATCACCTGTGTTGCTCATAAGCAATACATTATCCCCATTTTTGCTACATTTTTTATTGATGCTCAGTTATAAAAGAGTGTTATACACTTGAGTGTTATATTACATTGTACAATAGATAATTGTTTAAAAAAAAAACAAGAATGTCCTATATGTATATGTATGCATACATGTGATTAATAAAGTACTACCTGACGTTATGTTGAGTGTCTGATCTGCGGGCGCCATTGTCAGGAGAAGGTGTCGCGCGTCACCTCGCGCGTGCAGACGCTGCCATGTTTTATATTCAGCTAGCACGTGCCCCTCGTATTCATATTCGCTGATAGCGATAGAATACTGATGTGCGCTATGTACTGCGCTCTTTGTTATCTAAACATGTTCGCTGCACACGGCTGTAGCGCTGGGACGACTCTATAAGTCTGGTTCTTGGAGAAAAAATCAAATAATAATTAACTTGTAGCCGCGCAGGGTTTACCGATCGCACCTATCTGTATCTTGAGATATGGGATAAGGTCGTGCATTCATCTAGGATACTCGATCAAGCGGTATCGTCTAGATGAGATATATAGTTCTCTGTGATAGCCAGACCTCGCAAAGAACCGGTGTTAAGTAATTCGAGTGAGGTTACCGATTGCCTAATGCCCTCCCTCTCCCAGAAAGGGTAACAACGCACTTGTATCTCTCGAGTAGTAGGTGTCCATGGGCGGTGGTACTCACTTACCCTCAGGTGCCTCGTCGGCTCGACCATCTAAAAATACTTAAAAAACAACGTAGAAAAAAGTATAAGTTATGGAGTTAAATTTGCTTTAGGAATTTCTACTGTACCTTCTGCAATGTGACTTTAACAGAAATAAATGAGAATCTATAGTGTCCACGGTCAGACCGGTGACATTGTGCGAGCCTTCCAGATTCCTCTAAATACTATGTTTGTAGGTGTCTATCAATACATCAAAGAGATATAGACCAACGGCGCACTCACTCACTCACGCACTGATGAGCGCGTCGCTTGTCCCTGACCATCAAATATATTACGTCATTCGTATTAACTCAACACTGAGTGTTTAAACAAACTGGATAAAACAAAGGTGTTCGAGTTGACCTTCGATAAATTTTATAACTGTGTATGAAACACTCAGAAGTCGTACTGTATGTGTGAAGTATGTTGTGTATAAGAAGCAGTCTTCACATCAGAGGGAGATGGGGCGGGGAGGCTGCACTACCCTTACGGGTCACGGACGTAGTACCGGTAGCATAATTACATTTTACACTCGTATTTCTCTATAGTTTAGTATTCATTATAGTACCGACGACGGTGTGCTGTTTTAATCAAATCAAATCAACGTTCGCTACGAGTGCTACGAGCTAAAAATATGAGAATTTAATATTATGTAGATTGTAGCGTGTGCTACGCGTCGTGGTGCTACGAGCTACGAGCCACTCTCGTTGCGGCGTATTTACAAAATATACAAAATTATGGGCTCGCAAACTCATTACATTATTTTATATGATGAAAACTGCTTTTATTTAATGTTTTTTAAATTTAAGTAACTGAATTAGGTGGTTTATTCTGTATTCTGAATGTGATCAGTAATGAACAAACATTTCATATATTTATGCAGTTACAAATTAATTTTCATATGCTTCATCGAATCGAAAAAAGCCTTTAACCTGTTTTTTTTTACAATGTTTCTAAAGGGTGGTGATGTCAGCTTACCCCGAACTGCACATCAAACAAACCATTCGGACTACTAATAATATGACCATAATAATAATAAACTAATAATTATCCTAAAAGGGATTACAGGGATCGAACCGCTCGCATACGCGTGCATGTACATTAGTCGCTACTCTACTGTTCGGGTAACGTTACATTCATGAGCGACAGCGATAGCGTGAAACGTAAGGTCCATGGAATATTAAACAGTCACATTCGGAATAAAGGTATAGCCTCATACTAGGTGTTGGACGTTGAATATTTTAAGAAATCAAAATTGTATTTGGTGGTACAGCACCTGTACTTGAAAATGAGAGTTACATTATTTAATATTTGGAAAAATCATTGTTTATATGACTTTCATCAATACGCCTGTAAAAATTATAAGTAGGTAATAAAAGCGCAACGTTAAGGTCGTTCGCTATCGGCGCTACAGTTGCACAACAATATGCTTGTCGCAGGCAGTCGCCATGTTGTGCCTTGTGCTCGTCGCGTGCTGGAGCTATGCCATTGCTGAAGGTGCTTACCTCTCACCAAGCAATAATAGTCAATGTAAGTCTACTTTCATTTCCTCGATGCACTATTAAAAAGAAAGAAAAATGGTGCATATCAAATTCAATAAAATCACCTGATCGGACACTACTTTCATAGATAACAGTACAGCAAGATTGGTTTTAACAGAGTGCTCTAGACACTTTCGAAACGGAAGGGCTAAGTTGTGCCTGCGACTAAATCGTTATTATAGCTTTAAATCGTATCTGCTTTGTTAGAGGCTTGTTCATAAAATAACTAAATTGACTTGTATGTAATTTCTAAATGAATTAGTATGACCATGCAGGATTGTACCTGGTGGGCCGCTGCCCAGCGGTTGAAGTTTGTCATTTATATATATATACTCATAGGCGCAAGAAACTTTCGCAGGGTCATTAGTTAACATGTAGTTCAACTCGTTTACGTTTTTTCCGTATTTGGAAGTCTCCACAAGGGAAGGTTCACATTCTTCCGTTACCTATTAATACGTAGCTGATAACTAATTTTTAATGTTACGTATTTCAGCTAAGGAGGAGAGCTCTTTTACTTCTACAATTAGCGTTGATCCATGGTCACCTATCGTGGGTGACACAGAGGGAGTACCGAGCGTCACCGCCAGAGTAGAAAGCGTTCATGGACGTCGTGCGGCAATCAGCCTTGTGGAGAACATCCGCAGGCAGTTGATGCGCGACAATTACGACTATATTTCTGACGAGAGCAAAGAACCGTCCACGATCAAGACACCTTCACCTTCACAAGATAATTCAAAGAGGATTACGTCGGCACGTAAGACGTCAATACAGACTGGTATGATACCAACGAGTTCGCCGAGGGCATTTCATACAAGTCCGGCAGTAGCCCCAATTACTACCGCGGTCGTCCCGCGCCGTGAAACTCGCCTGCTGCCGCCCCTGAGTGTTAAACAAAAATTATCACCAATCCAGGTAGGTATTGGCGCAATCAGATATGAAAATTGATATCGATGTTTTTATTCGCCTGCACATTTACTAGAACAATAATAATAACACGAAATCTCAGACTGAGCCTGTACTATGGTATTCAGGGTGCTGATGGACATACTTATATTCCAAAAACATACAAATTATGGATGTATTACAGTTTGATAAGAATAATGATATGATTAATTAAAAGCTCTCCTCTTAGTATTATACTAGTTGGTATGGCTGAAGGTCTTGGATCAATATAAGCAGACACTACGTTATCTGTTGTCCATTTTGATAAATAATATACATTTTACAAAGCAAGTTATTAGTTTTGACTTTGTTATTGTTGGTCTTAATTTTTTAATGATATACAATATTCATTTGGAATAGTACGAGTGTATTGGGTGATCAATTTTATGAAATAAAGATTTTGGATGTGAATTTGAAATTTTCGTTGCTACTTTGGCATAAAAAATAAAAATCTAATTTATTCCATTTGATGCAGGTCGCCAGGGTCAACATGCCATCTAAGAGCAACAGTAAACAACATTTCGGATCTTTTAGTAACTCGCCAATATTGAGATCATTGGACGAAGAATCACACAGACATGCTACCACAACAGCCAAGAATATCAAAAGTGAAATAGACGTCTCGAAGAAGGATTTATTATACTATATGGATGATATTCATTTGCGACGCAACAATCCTCCTTCTACTGTTTCATCCATTGTAGGGAGACGCACGTATGAACCAGCTAACATGACAAATAAAATTACTATAAATGAACGTAAACAAAATAGACTACCAACTCAAAAGACAAAGATGCGAATTAGTGTAAAAGAGAAGCATAGTGATGTCAAACAAATTAGTAATTACGATTTCAATCAAAACAATCGACGAAATAACCAATTAGAGTTCAAAACGCAAAACCATCAAGATGATGAACATGAAGCGGTAGAAGCCGAACGCAACGGCCAAGTAAATGTTCCAGCAAAACATGATAGACGACACAATAATATACAAGATGATAACGATATCGACAAAACGCAGAATAAAAATGACGGGGATCATAAACAAAAAGAAGTTCGATTTGATAATAGGGACAAGCAATCAAAAAATAGTTTGTACGAAGATCAACCTAATGAGAAGTATAATATGAAGCAAGACGATAAGAGAAATTTACCATCTATCATCGAACATAGTCACCGAGAAGCTGATGAAATAAAAAACCAACCAGAAAATATGCAAATAAACGTTTCATTAAGTCCCAATAATGACAGTTACAAAATGACACAAGAGACACACTTCGTCAAAAATGAAGTCCAACAAAACAACCTAACGAAAAGGGAACAAAAGCTGTATGATGAGGAACAAAAAGTGTCGATTGATAATCGCAAACATTTTCGACGAAGTAATCGTAGGCGTAATCATAGGCGTAATAATGACAGAAATCACAAATACATTGAACAACTTGATAGGAGTCAATACGGTGATTCTACTGATGATAAATATACACAGCACAGTTTAAAAAAAGAAGTAAATCTTCAAATCAATAGAAACAGTCGTAATATCTACAAACAAAATGAGCACATTAAAAATAAGTCCAACAAACATATACCACATAAAAGCCCTCGGGAGAAAAAAGTTCAAGTCAAATATGAGCATAGTGAACAAAGCAATGAACAGTCACATAATGTACACAAAACGTACGAAAGTGGCCGAAAAAAAAGTCCAAATAAAAGAAAACGCAAATTGCATCCATCAGAAGAAAGCGTTATACAGAAAATCAATAAACCTGAAAAACAAAGTAACGATGACAACTCATTATATACTCAAAATATTAATGAAGATACAACGACTGATAAAGTAATTGTCAAGAGAAGTACTCTACCCAGCACTGAAGCGGATCACCAACGTCACATTCGAAGGGAACTCAATAAAAAGGTCTATGTGGATGATAAACAATCGCATTCTGATAACCAGAATAATAACAATTTCAGTAATAACATTAACGGTGATACAACAGATGATAGAAATGAAGGAGATCATAACGAAGATGATGGAACTGAAGAATATAAAGATCAAAAAAGTCAGTATTTAGATAGTATGGATAACGAAGATTTTGAAAAATTTGATGGACGACGAATGAACAGACCAAGTAATGACACACATTTAGCAAAAGAACTTGATGTACATGACGATGAATGCAATAACAGCCAACGCGGATGTTTCGGTGAGGAATATAAAAAGCATAACAAAAGTATCACCGAGAATGTGCAAGAATTGACTTCTCTAACTGCTAAATATAAATTACTTAAGGTAAACTTAAAAAAAAGCCTTTTTGTAATTTCCTAACTTATTCTAAGAACTCCACAATTAATCGAATACGAAACGGATTTGAACTATAACTTTAACAAATTATTTGGTGTACATTAGATGCAGACACACTTGGATAGCAACAATGTTAGGAATAAATAATCTGAAACTGACTGAAGGTTCCTGTATATTATCGATTAAATTAGAATCCTCTACTTAGAAATTCGGGAGACTATATTTTCTCTTTTAGTTTCTATACCCGTGCGATATAATTTTTAAAAATAAATGTTTATGTTCCAAGTAGAGGACAGTAAGGAAAAGATAAATGACTTAATTTTTGTAAAAGGTGCGGGCAGTGGGAGGCTCAAGGCGCAGCAACACAGGAGAGCGTCAATTCCTTCAGGAGCGTGGCCCAAAAGGAGTTGCATTGTTCGCGCTTGACGGAGCACCTTTCCCACAGTTTAGACTCCCTCGCAGCCGTCGCCAGTACATGGACGATCACGTTGACAAACGCCCGCCTCTCATAGAGCAAATTTCCAGGAGGTCATTAAACAGGAAACATTCAAAACAAAACACCCGCATACATCAGGATTAGTATACATCATTTATATTTTATTTATCGGCTTCTACTCAGAGATGTCGTTGAGTGAACAGCAGAATAGATTACAAATCGATTTTGTCAATAATTAATTGTATTATTTAGTAGGATCTTTCTATGGCATAACTTAGTACCTAATACGTCATGAAACAGTTTATATAATGAATAATGTATGGTTCCAGACGGACCATGCCTCTGATTCTTTACACATGTCAAGCGTGGTGAATCACCTTAACAGTTAATAACAAGACTTGATCCTTTTGTGTTTAGATGTTAACGCTCATGAAAGCCATAGCATTTTAGCAATTTCGATTAAATAAAGTTTATAGTTGATAATTTTAAGTATCAATGTGAAATAAAGAAACCTTCGTTTGAGTCATCATATAGAGTCAAAGATTTTGTCAAAGTCAAAGTCTAAGTGATTCCGTTCAACTTCTTTTTAGTATGTTTCGTACTACTGTTTCGACATCAAAATTAATTTTATTGCTTAGTTTTATATTTCAATAAAAAAGTAATTGGAATTCGGTCTCCTCGGTATTGTGAGCCACTGTTTTAGTATGCAGACATTTCTGATAATAGCGTGTGTTGTAGCGTGTGTGACGTCACTGCGGATACAGCGCACAAAGGTCATAAGGGCGACGAAGAAAAGTCACATCCGTTAGTTAAACATTTTGCATTGAGTACAACACTTTTGGCTCTAGAAGTAGAAGTGTTCCATTACTTGAACATGAGAACGATACGACATTAGATAAAGGATATAAAGATAGTTGATCTAGTTCACGACAACACTAATGAAGTAATAATAATTATTATTATTGAATAATAAAACAAATTTATGGATAACATGTATCCGTGCATGTAAACTTTACTCTGAAAAGTTGTGATACAAAATCTGTTATTATTATAATGAGAGAAAACCTAGCTGCTCTTATAAACTAGAAATATTTGTTACAGAGGCCATTACTTCAGTGTCTCGATTCCTGAACAAGAGTGAGGCATTTGGCTTTGTTATTCATATTGGACTAATGAATTAAATTTATTATTATTAGATCAAAAACATGTATGTATGTGCATGGGTCGTATCTGTGTCTGTCTGTGTTTTGTTGACCGTTGAAGAGATCCCTCACGTGTTTCTCGTAAATTTAGCAAATGGTGTAGTGAGAAAGCCCTTTACCGCGTATGTAAAATTTACTTTCAATAACTTTATCTAAATCGCGAGATGGGATCTGAGACGGTTCGTTTAAATAAAGTTGTAAACAATTTCTGCTCATGCTGGCCACGCACTTCCGTGCTCTTAGATAACGGTAATATTACGTCAAACGTAATTCGTATCAAATTATTTGGGACAAATAAAAAATTGTAAGTTATTATTTAAAATATAGTATAATATAAAACTCTATATATGTATAGAGAACTCAGCATAAGAATGTGTGTAACAAGTTCCACCAAGTGCCATCGGTCAACAGCATAAATATCATAAGAAGGAACGTACTCGTAAGTAATGTGGCATTCCGTTACCACTTGTTCGTTAGGATTTTGTAGCTATCGTTTCTGAAATTCCGTAAGTAATTTAAAAAGTATAAGTAAAATTGTAATTAACTGTATCTATATTCATACCTTAACTTTCCACCCTTGAAGGTGTAGTGGTAGTGGTACAGAAAAAATGTTCCGTCGATATGAGAAACGATTTCAATTTATTTAAGATCGGTGAAAAACTTCTCAAGGACCACGCTTTAGGTGCAAATATTCGAAAAGTTAGCAAGAAGTTCTCCCCAAGCGGTCTACAAGCAGTCTCTATGTATGTATGTCTCATCCGAGACTCGGAGTAGGCAGGCAGGCTGTCGGCTATAAAAACCAATTAAAATCTTTTGTAATGTAACACTCTGCGCCGACCAGAACTACAATCGATTGAGGGGTAAGAAGATAATAAGATGACATTTTATTTCTTTTTGTTATGATTTAAAATAATCTTTAAGAATGGTACTTTTACAATCATTTTTCCTAAACTGCGATGAAGTTCGTTCAGAACCTAAGAATATAAATTGGGCTCAGCTTTTTCGAGCTTCATATTACTTAATTGATTTAAATTAATTATCTGTGTCAGGTGTTGACGACCACAAAGATCTCAGTGCGAAATATGAGCAGACAGTAAGGCGCCAGACCTGGGACTACGTGGACATGGTGAGGAACAAGTTGCGGAGGAACAACGACGACTACATCCAGCGCAACCACATGGAACACTCCCTGTTCATTTAACAGATTATTAATATTATACAAGCATGTGCATTATTTATTTCTCTTAAATAGGAACCTACCTGAGATTTACAGTAGCAAGCGGTAATCAATGTATTGTTCCCAGTTTTATAAGTCAAACATAAAGTGGGATTTGTATTTGGTTTGTGGAACCAAAGCCTACTGTACCCCTAAGAAAGGAGGTTTTAGCCTACTATACCACGCTGGCCAGACGGGTTGGTATAAGGTTTGTTGACACAAACCAGCAAACAACAACAGCACTGGAAAGTTCACTTTCCAGTGCTGTTGTGCCGCGTAGTTTGCTCCCTTAGTCGGCTCTTACGACACCCACGTGATGATAAGGAGTGGTGACACTCCGTATTCTTAATCCGTCACCACACGGAAATTATTATGGCCAACATTGACGCGAATCCTCCTTAGAAAAGTTTTTAATTTAAAGGAATTTCGGATAGAATAAGGCGCTAGAGTGTGGCAGTTAAGGTAAGAAATGCCCCAAGTCTTGAGTGGGGCAGTAGTACTAAGACAGCAGAACACGAACGAAGACACGAACCTACCATACTCAAATACTCGTATAACATCTATAAGGAGTGACCATGGCTTGCTACAAGTCATTTTGTACGTCAATGTACTTTTTTGTTTGGAAACGTAGGTAGGTAGTCGGTAGGCAGGAGTATGTCACACTTAATGTCAGCCATCAAATTCTTTGGAGGATAATTCACTTTGATTGCTCATCAAGTGTGTAGATCAGGCGTTGCGAAACTCAGATTTACTGTGTCACGTAACGAAATAGATAATTACGCGTTATCTGTTAGTATTTAAACCCAATGCGTCGGCGGTATTTACATATACTCGTACACGTACGCGATGTGGCGGACTGTGATATTTACCCTCGCTGCGGTGAGTGCACAACAACATTAATATTAATTAATTAATTAATCATAAAAATACGGAACGAAAATTAATACATCATTCGTAAACTGTTTTATTTTGTAACTAACTATGCCCGTGGCTTCACTACCGTAAAAGTAGAATTTCAGGGAATCGAATAACCGGAATGAAAATCCTGTGTCGCATTGACATTAACAAAAAATCAATCAAATGGACGCAAAGAACACTCAAACTCAGAACAACATCTTGTGGAGCACACAAATTGTTGTACCATGTGGGGGTCGAACCCACAACGGCGAATGTGGCGAGGCGACCACTTAAACCACTACGCCATTCGTGCAGTCAAATTTTTGTCATTAATTTATCATATTTATTACATCATGACCAATACGTCATACCAGTAAAAATCGGTACAATCGTTTCCGAGACTAGACGGAATAAACAAACGGTCGGACAGTTGTTTTAATCTGTACAAAGTATTGTCTAATTAAGAAGACTCGTAATCGCAAGACAGTTAAAATGATTGCATGTATGCTCATGTGGTCGCGATGAGAACGGAGTTCTATCCGAAGACAAGTTTATTGCTTAGTGTGTCCTTTAGATTTACAGATCGTTTAAATAATAGCGGCTTGCCCACAGCTCCGCACCGTCAACACTGTGCAAGAGGTGGGGCCACTCACCGTCGATGTAAGTTTATGCACTATAATATTGTTTTGATCTCTTTTAATAGAACACTACAAAAAACCATCCATCACGGTTTGGTTGAAACTACAACTCTGCGTGTGCCTAGTTTACGATACCTGCTATGATAATAACGATGCTGCTATTTGATTTGACGTTATGTATACTGTATCTAAACGATAAACATCTGAGAACACATCTATAAAATTGTGTCTAAAATTTTGACAAGGATAAAACTTAAAAGAGACTTAAAAAAGTCATCAGTGTGTATTGCTGCAGGTTTTTTAATTGATAAAAGTTTAATGATATTTTTAGTCATCAGCGATATCCAACATCGAGCTGCTTATTCCGCTCACGGTGTCCCGACTTGAAGCTCGTGAAGTTGACGGAGAAGACTCCGACGAGGACCATCAAATCGATCGAGATGAACCATACAGTGCTATTCCTGCGTTTGCGTTTACGCTGGATACAGATCCAATTCCAGCCGCTGACCGCACTGTCCAGAGTTCTACAAATTTCCCGAGTCTACCTCCACCCGAACTGATACCGCATCGGTCATGGTATTTGAATAACATACACCAGCGTCCACAAGATACAGGAACAAAGAAACAGGTGCCTCACAAACGAAGTGAGCAAATTGAAAGATTAAAAGAGGAAAAGCGAAAAGGTTGCAGGGCGCTGGCCGATCAGCACAGCGCGGAAGCGCGCGAACTGCTGCTTTACTTTTGCACCGAGCTCGTTGATCTGCTGACATCGCGCTGTGACTGCTGTGAGGAGGACCAACATCTGAAGAAATCAAGGTCAATAGCAAGCATGCCCTGGTTTGGAACAATCGGTATCAAGAATCGCGCAAGGAACCAACAAGCACTCGACGATGACCAAGATGATAGGTAAGCATTGTGTACCTACATTTGGCTGAAATCTTTTTGTATACAGTCATATAAATGTGTAAAGAAATAAAAATTATTGCTCTTTTGAGTGTATGGTTACTTAAATTCGGTTTAGGTTTTGCTCCAACCAAGTAACATACCAATCATTATTCTATTCTATTCATTTCCATTGGCGTTGTTAATTTAGTGTTAAGTAACAACTCTAACTTTCCCGCCACTCAATGTCGATGATAGCTACCACTTCCTCTATTATTAGTCGTGTTGAGTTGTTGTTAGGTAAGCAATCAGGTAACAACAACAATAAATACAATAAAAAAAGCCTTTTTATTTCTTACTGATGCTTACAGATATATGATTTATCTTAAAAATATACAATAAAAATATTATTTAATCTTATTACGAGTATATACAATTGTGAGCTTGCCAAGTAGTAAGAACAATAACAATAAGCGTTTACATAATTGTAATATTTTTACTGAAGGTACGGCTCGAAGGACCAAAATGTTGGGGCTGTTATTATATTTTTCCCAACATTTAATGTTGAAGTTTGTTTATAGTTGAAGTTAGGTAAAAAATACCAATGTTGCAGTTATGAGCGTTTATTGAACACTAAAATTCACTGTATAAATTAAAACCTTATAAACCACAATTTCGCTGACTTAGCTAAGTACGAGTTCGTACACTCGTTTTACTTCAGTAAGGCGTAAAGCTAGAGTCTGAGTCAAAGGCGAGCACTTGTGTCGTCTCGGACCTCAGCCGGGCGCGCCTTTTTAATCTAAATCCCTTGCGGTTTCTACAACCGACTACTTGAAATTAATTTCTAGAATGAAGACGGGCTACTATTACTACAAAACAACATTTTGTAATTAATAATGTGGAGTTTTGTTGCAGGTTGGAGCAGCGAGTTTTTGTTTAATGAACTCTTTTATCATCTAGATATCTAAAAGGTAGAAGAGTTACTGTACTGTGTACTTAGGAAGTAGTTTTCTATTAAAATGTGTTTAAACATTCATTGTTTTACTTTCTAATAACTATATAGCTGTTCCTTCACAGTACAACCTTTTATCACATTTCACCAAATCGGAAGCGGGATGTAATCGCGTTCTCTTATGATTTGAAAAAAAAAATATAGTTTAAAAAATGCATGTGGTGCTAGATCTCAATCTCTGGTCAAACAACTGGCAGAATCGGCTTGTTCATGATTTTTAACATAAAATAGTAATTAGTATCTGTTGCACTGTATTTTATGTATATTTGTACAGTATTTATGTATTGTAATTTATGTACTTGTGTGTAATATGTATATGTGTAGTATAATTCAGGTTTGTATATGTGTGTAAATGTAATTTTCTATAAAGTATATATTGCTGAATTTCGTCTGTTTTAAAACTGACTATAACCAAACTGCACCTACTTACTGTTTTCTCTGCATCAACCAAAGGTTGACTGGTAGAGACTGCTAAGTCCGGCAATGCACCAAATGTGCTTGATGTATAAATAAAATATACATTCCTATCTACTTTCGTCATTCAAAATGCTTTCTTTAAATATATAGTTTACAGTTCAAAGTATATATTACTAGCGACTCGCCCCGGCCTCGCACCGAAACGATGTAGATACTAATGTTGTGTCAGTGTCGTTAATAATAATATTATTATGATTATATTACAGAATATCTTCATCCTAATAATGTACAGACTTATTAACATAAATTATAAGACTGTATTGTTTATAATAACTTCGTAAAGATAAAAATGGTTACCATCCTGAGGGCAACTTTTGAGTAGATGTTTATAAAATATACAATTCCGTAGTTCATTATGTTGCAATGTAAGTGCACATAAATATATTTTTACGACATGGTATTATATATATATAAACCTTCCTCTCTCTATTAATGGAAACTGGATTAAAATCCGTTGCGTAGTTTAAAAGCTCTAAGCGTGCAGGTGCATGCTGGCGGTATGCAATGTAAAGATACTCGTACATGCATTGTTCCGTAGCGGTTTGCAATATTACGACAATATTACTTTGATATTATAATAATAATAATAATAACAAACACAAACAAACAAACAAACACTAGCAACACTTACCTACATCAGTCGGAATTTCTTCACATTTTCGAAATAAACAAGTTTTCTATACATTTACAATCCCGTACAATCATTAAAAGCTATTAAACTGTATTGAAATGGATCCTTTTTATAAAAATATAACACAAAACCGTTTTAAATAAATAATATATATAGATATATGTTGATAGTAAGACATGACGTTTAACGTCATGTCAAAATACAAAAAATATTGAAAATGAAAGAAATTAGAAATTCGACTAGAAAATGTTAACCCGAGCTAGATCCAGAGCACTGACAACATCCCCGGACTCGTCGCTCCGCTCCGTCTTGCCGTCCCCGGAAGCTACAACTGAAGTTCCGGCCGTGGCTGAGGCGTCGAGCTCAACTTCAAGCGACGAGTTTTTCTCTCCGCCGACGTCGCCAACACCTGTACGTCGGCAGGGGAGAGGCCGGCCACCGACCAGCTTGGGATCCCGAGGACTACTGACCTCGAACAGGGTCCCCGCTACCGGTGGTGATGTGCGCCGCATGAAGTGGACAAAGTCTATTAATGAAAATGTCATGCGGGCATATTATCGGGCTACAGAGGTGGGAACGAACCTTACTGCGTACCGTGTTCGACTAGTCTCTTTGTTTCAGGAGCTTGAACCAGCTGTCAACGTATCAGCACAACGATTGTCGGATCAAGTACGAGCTATACAGCGCTGTCATCTGCTGGATGATGCAGTACTTGAGAGGATACGCTCTGACATACGGAATAGCTTAATTATCCCTTCTTCGTCACACACTGTGGATTCGGTAGCCAACAGCACACCTCAGTTGGCATCATATACTGATGATATTGATGAACTAGTGGAGAGTGAAGTTATATCCGTAAGTACCCAATACAATGATAGGATAAGGAGTGCTTTGGAGGATGCGATTCTGGAATACCGATATTCAAATTGCAATGATAGGCCCCGGTTATTCCGTTTGCCCATTCATAAACGAAATTTAGCGCTGGTGGGTGCCTTGGATTCGTTATTGCCTGAATATTTAGATAATAGCGAAGATCTTAGTGATACACATTCTATTCTATATTGTGCGGCTATTGCAGTTTGTCGAGTAGCTGGTGTTAAAATAGCTAACAATGTCACTACTACTCGACCTAAATCTACTGTACCAGCTTGGCAGTATAGAATTGAACGTCGTATTACTGAGACCAGGACACTCATCGGTAAGCTTATTAGCTACCGATCAGGGAATATGCGGCCGAGAGTGATGCGCTTTGTGAAACAGGCATTCTTGGGGACTACCATTAGTCCTCAGCAGTACATGTCATGTGTCACAGAGCGCATAGACTTTCTAAAGCAGAAAATTTATGCATGGGCAAATAGGATAAGACGGTATAAAAAACGAATAGATCGGTATAATCAGAATCGGATGTTCCAAAGAAATGAGAAGTGGGTGTACCGGAAATGGGAGGAACCGGATCCATGTGTGGGTGATAGGCATTTGCCAGATGAAAATGTCACAAATACATTTTGGCGTAACATCTGGTCGGTGCCTGTCACTCATATAGAAGGCGATTGGTTGCAGGATGTCAGACGCTCATGTGAGTCTATAACACCTATGGAACCTGTTAAAATTGATAAAGATGATGTAAGTTGTGCAGTTCGTTCATTACCGAATTGGAAATCACCTGGTCCAGACGGACTGCACAACTTTTGGCTTAAGTGGTTCCGAAGCTCACATGCGCGTTTGGCATCTCAATTCCAGGCAGCTTTGGATTCGGGTTCATTACCCCAATTTTTAACCACTGGCATAACCCACTTACTCTATAAGTCTGGTAGTGTCATGGATCCCAAAAATTTTCGACCTATTACATGTTTACCTACCATGTATAAACTTCTAACATCTATTCTGAGACTCAAAATTACTTTACATATTAATAATAATTCGATTATGTCAGTTTCTCAGAATGGATGTAGAAGTGGGACCCGTGGCACTAAAGACCTCCTTATCATAGACATGACCATTAGCCAACAGGTACGTTGTAATCGTAAGAGTTTGGCGACGTGTTGGATAGATTATAAGAAGGCTTATGACTCGGTTCCACACACATGGCTTTTGAAGGTGCTGGAGTTGTATAAAATTGATACAACTCTGTGCACTTTCTTGAAGTCATGTATGGGGCAATGGAGAACGGCACTTCGCTATCCAGGATGTCGGCAGACAGCGATACACGATGTACTAATAAAGATCGAGCGGGGTATATTTCAAGGTGATAGTCTGAGTCCCTTGTGGTTTTGTCTGGCTTTGAACCCTCTTAGCACTTTATTAGAGGGTTCAGGGTTAGGCTATAGGTTGCAGAAAGATGATCAAGTTATATCTCACCTTCTTTATATGGATGATTTGAAACTGTTAGCCTCCAACAAATTACAATTGACAAAGTTACTAAAGGTGACGGAAAACTTTAGTAATTCTATCAAAATGGAATTTGGTGTAGACAAGTGTGCAGTCATGTATGTAAAGAAGGGTGTGATAGTTGAATCTGAAGGAATAGAGCTTTTGGATTCAACAAAACTCAGATCTCTGTCTGCCACTGAAACTTACAAGTATCTGGGTATATCACAGTCGTTGGGAATACCAGAATCTAACATGAAACAAACATTGCAGGAACGCTTTTTTGGCCGCTTGAAAAAAGTACTTAAAAGTCTTTTATCAGGGGGCAACAAGGTGCGAGCCTGCAATGGTTGGGTCATGCCGGTTCTAATGTATTCCTTTGGTATACTTAGATGGACTCAGACCGAATTAGATGCCCTTGACAGGAAAGTCCGCACACTGCTGACTGCATCCCGAATGCACCACCCACGTTCATCAGTTATGAGATTGTATATCCCGCGTTTGGTTGATTGGTTTGATTGGTTGGATTGGGTCGCGGTCTATTAAATATCAAGACCCTACATAATCGCGAGGTATGCAATCTCAGAGAATATTTTCTACATACCGACGTGGGAGTGCATCGCAATGTAGTTGCAGTGGATACCGGCTTCACCCCGCTCGCTCTGGCTAAAGAGAATTGGCGCAGACCTGTAGTACTTGGTGTTAATGATCGCAGGGAAGTATGGAAGGGCAAAGAGCTCCATGGTCGGTTTTATCGGGCCCTAAACGGGTCCGATATAGATTTAAAAGCATCTACGACTTGGCTACGGCATGGTGATCTCTTTGGAGAAACTGAAGGTTTTGTTTGTGCGATTATGGATGAAGTTATCATGACGAATAACTATCGGAAATATATCCTGAAAGATGGTACGGTTGACATCTGTCGGGCATGCCACCGTCCTGGCGAATCAATCAGGCATATTATTTCTGGTTGTTCTCGTCTTGCTAACGGAGAATATTTGCACAGGCACAACCAAGTAGCCAGGATCGTACACCAACAGCTTGCCCTTAAATACCATCTTGTGAATCTAGAGGTGCCATACTATAGGTATGTGCCCGACCCAGTTCTCGAGAATGGTCGGGCCACGTTGTATTGGGATCGATCTATTATCACAGACAGGACTATTGTTGCCAATAAGCCTGATATTGTGTTGATAGATCGATTAGAGCGCCGCGCAATGATTGTTGATATCGCCGTTCCTCATGACGAGAATCTCGTGAAAGTTGAAAAAGAAAAACAAATTAAATATTTGGATTTATCTTACGAGATTGTCGATGTGTGGAATGTTGATTCAGTGATCATTGTTCCGATAGTCGTATCTGCTCATGGATTGATAGCCAAGAGCCTCGTTTTACACCTTAAGAGGCTCACGTTGGATGGCTGGATCAAGGGTCTGATGCAGAAGGCAGTCCTCCTTGACACGGCTCGTATAGTGAGGAAGTTCCTATCTTTGGAGTCCTAACCACCGGTGTCTTGGTCCCTGTACCCGATGTCGGTGGTCTACTATTTTTTATATTTTTAAATGTATTTTTTTTATAAAGTGTATATTTAAAAATGTAAATAATATGTATATAAAGTAAATAAAGAGAATAATAATAATAATATTTAATAACACCAAAGTAAGTACAAATTTTCTAATACAACATAATGTTCTTAGGTACACAGTGTTTTTTTTCGTTTCTTCCCTTTATCTTTTTACCTTGTACATACATAGTATTTCACCTTATTGTTACACTTAGAAAAAAAAAAGAAACAGAATACACACAAAATCATTGATCAATGACCCCATGCTAGGAACATCCTGTGTTATGGGAGTCATCCATCCGTCTGTAATGTGTTCAGGTGTGCTATAAATGTGATAGCTGTTTATATATATTTATTTTTAATGATACATACAAGAGAAGGAAGTAAGAAAAGAAAATAAAAATAAAAAGACAATATATATACATGTGAATATATATATAGGAATGTGTGTGTTAGGGTGGGTAAGTTCGTTAGGTTGGTTCGTTGGTTGGTTGGTGTGGTAGGTAGTGCAAGTGTGTGCATTATTGTCAACCTATAATAACGTTAGGGAATAACATTTACCTTGCATAATATTTGATTGTGGGTAAATATTGATTGGAATAAGTGTAAGTGTAGATATATTTGTGGGTTGGTGAATATTACTCATCATAACTTCAAAACTTGGTTTATTTTAGATTAAGATTAACTAATTTCAACAAAAAATGGTTTTTATAGCTCAAATATAATATTTAGATATACCTCCTCGCGAACTTCTTTGTGCACATTAATAAGTACGTTCGAAATATATCGCTTTTTATGGATCAATAGTTTTTGAGGCCCACGCGTAAATAGCAAATATTTTTGTATATTTTTTGTACTTGCCTTCAAACTATCGTCTTTCTAATAGAAAAGTAATTAGGTTTCTAAAATAAAATATAGGCTATATTACTGGCCGATAATGTAACTTTAATTGAGCCCTCTACCCTCGACCATGGCCAGTGCAACCTGTTCAAACGTCAGGCAATTCAAAGGCATGCTATACAATGTTACGTGATCGCGTTAATTCCCGTGTAGGTACATAATTATAACTCCTGTTTTTCAGGTTTGGTTTAAATATCATTGACATCTTTATTGTGTTTGCTTTCTTTGCTACTTTTATGCGTGGCTTTAAGCGATTATGGCACACACAAATTATAATATAGCAATACAAACAAATAATATTAATAAACATGTGAATGTTAGCACTATCTCAGATTTCGAGGCATTTTCGTGACAGAAAAAGCTCACCAGTTATTTTAAGACAATTCTTTAATATGTGTGTGATGCCAAAATTAACAGATCATCCATTAAAAACAACACCGTAGTGGCACCGTAAAGTGGTTCACTGACAGCCGAGTACGGACTTCTTACAACAGTTGCAGCAGCGCGGTAGCATGAATTTCGGTTTTACTGTCTCGAAAAACTTCCTCTTTCTATTGTACATGCTTGCGTTGAACGCAGGCATGATAGTTTCCCCCTTGCTGTTGTACTTCGGTCCCTCGGGCCAAAGTATGTGACGGTAACAGAACCTGCCTTTCAAGCGCAGATCATGAATATAAGCACCTCTGGCAGGTGCCATGTCTAGCTGGTCGGCATTGGGAGGTTTCCGTACAGGCCCTGGTGCGCGCAACGGGAGTATCGCTATGTTAGGAGCTTGGCGCGGTCGAGGTCGCGTGGTGGTTCTGGAGGTCATCGTCTCAGTCGTCGTCTTAGCTTCTGTCTTAGTCCTCATCGCGTTTTGTATACGTAATACTTTGGCGGAAGAGCTCGGTTCGATTTTTGGGCTGCTTGTGTATTTACGGAGTCTGTTGCTTTTTTCGATCAGAACCTTCCACCTGTCCACCATCTTCCGCTCTGTATTACTATTAAATTTGACCTTATGTGAGCTGTGTGAGCGTATTGACACATGCTCATGCTTTTTTTTAGAACGTGGAACATCCTTTACCGCGCTCCTAAATTCGTTAGTATCCCCGGTAGGAGTGGCTGGCAGAATCTCAGTCTCGTCATCCTTTGTCTCAGCAGCGACTTGATCTGACTCGTTAAGTGCTCTTCTGGTATCCCTTGGTGCTGGCTCCCGCTGGCCGACATGGTCATTGGTCTTATAGTCATCGTTGTTCCTCCGCAGGCTCTCCTTTATTACGTCTACAAAGTTTTTGTTCGTGACTATCGGGGGCTTAATATCTGCAACATTAAGTGGCTCTGTAAGTATGGTTTCTAATAAGAAAATGTTATTGCATACTCCTCAAAATCTCCAAAAGGTGTATTTTGGCTCGTTAAGAGAAGCATCGATTTTAAAAAGCAACCGACTGCAACCAAAAATCACATCACAAATAAAGTACTCCCGTTAATATCAGACACTGAATAAATAAAGTACCACTGCATATTCAGTAATAGTTTTACGTATATAAAACTGGTGGATAAGATAGAGTAGATAAAGTAAGGAAGGCAGGTAATTTACCACAGTTTGGTTCATGTGGTATGTACAGGCAAACTAAAGATTTATAACACTGACCTGTGTCGCTGCTCAGTACAGTCGTCAGCGTGCCTATGTCGGCATGCAGTGACGTCACGCTCAACACAATGGACACAGTTGATAGGGTGGCCCACATTGTTTTGTGCCATCGCCGTCGTTTGACGACATTTTTATTTGAATAATATTTTTTCAATAACTGGTTTATGTCGATGCTGTAATCAGTTTTTTATAGCTTTGTTTATAACATTAAAATATAATTTGATTTGAAAGATCTTTGTTTTAGGTTTATGCTGTTAGGTAATGCACTGTTTATGCCTCATCCGTTGCAAGTATGGTGTACTACTTTATTCACTGTTACTGTACTGTATTCACATTACAGGGACAACATAATATTTTAGTTTTAAAATGTCTGTTTATATCCACAGAACTACGCAGCAAAAGTTAATTAATGTACTTAAGATGGATGTAAAAAGTTAAGTAAATTTAAATAGGAAAATATTGAGATACAAAAGCGTAACCATTAGGCAAAGTTTCGTAATCTGCCACCTAATGTGGTATGCGAATAATAACTACAATACAGTATGTAGTGTGCGTATTAAGTTAAATTACGGTTGCTGGTGTCGATAAAAACTATTAACACATCTGGTGTCACTAAATTAGCTGTTCTGTTGCGGTCTTCAGTAAGTTTGAATTACTTCCCGGGAGCATCACAGTATTCGAACAACTCCGAATCAAGCATAAAGGTAGTGGGTCCTATTTTTTCTGTAAACGCTGAGAATGCTAAAGAGAAGTGAAAAAAGGGAGCCGTCAGGAAAAAATAGTACTCAACGATCGCATCAGACAAAACGATTACATGACTGTAAGAACTATTGAATAATCTATGGTATAACGCCATTAGCAAAACGTTGCAATGTGAACGTTCAAGTTAAATGTGAGTAGATTGCGCCACAATCTGCAGCAAATGGCACACTTACCGTCACTATGCAACTGTTATTTCATCTTCCATTGAACACACATCAACGGCGAATAATTTAACTCAATGCATAAGCTTATATCGAATTCTTTCAGCAGCAGTCTTTGAATGCGGTAATTTTGTAAGAAAAGTTCCTATTTCGAATTCGTTCATTCGAATTAGTTGTAGTAAAAGAAGTCAGGTATTAAAAATATAGCAGGCTAAGGTCTTGTTTACACATAAGTCGGATTGAATTAATATCAAACATTGTGTTTTCTATTATAAACGACTTTTCATCCAACAACGAAATATTTATGAGCAGTAATGGAATTATATCGTTAAATACGTTTTGGCCAGTATTGCGCCAGCATCTTGCTAACGTTCAACCAATTGTACGTCTAATTAACATTTGTGAGGCATCGGTACCTGCGCCATTGTGTGGCGACCGGACAAAACCCGACAACCGGACACAATGCGGATATTGGCCGGACAATGGCGCAGGTTAATCTGTCGCACATCACACCGAAGCCTTCGTTATTCAGATGGATTTACAACTACTCACACTATGTTTTGCAGTAATAAGGTTTGTGTGATGTAATCGCTGCAGTAGCCGCACTCAGTGTCCTCCACAAATGCCATTCTGTTTTAAGGTTTAGTATAAATTTTGAGCCAGTACGAGTATAAGAATAGAATGACTGAAATAGATTTTATAAAAACAACATTTCAAAATTTACAGTAGATATCAGTAAAATAAATCGTTTCGGAGGTTAGGCTAAATAATAAAAACTAGTTTATGCTCGGGAATTGTTCTTGTTTCTTGAAAAGAGGAACCGTATATACTTTTCTGAACCCCTGGCGATGTATGGAACACTTCGAACCATTGTTAAGTAGTTACAATCTGAAAGGGTAATAAACAAACATACAAACCAACAAATAAAATCAAAGTCGCTTTTATAACGTGATATTTTATATTGCAATAATAAATATAGTTGAAGCGCGACTGTATGCGATGAGTGTGCGTTAGCGTCGCTGCGCAGGCGCACTACTTATTTCCGCAACACTTGTTACTTGCCGCACATTAATAACCACGTCACATCACTCTTGATCTGTGAAAAAGATCCGTCACGCACTTCATATATGTGCTGTATTTGCCATTGGCTTAGTGGCTAATAATTTTTGGATTGGCGGCATATCTCTTCCACGCTATAATTTATCTGCTCTCTAAATACCCGACTGTTTGATGGTAGGCTTTATTGAAACCACCATAGAAACTGAGTTGTTTAGCTTTTGCATAATTATTTGTTCGTTCAGAAGTTATTACAAGAATTCTCGCATATTTCACAATTTGTTAGTACATCGTTACTTTTTCACGAAACTTAAATTTGACAATGTTTATGTAATTGAGTTTACAATTTCTTTGGAACTTCGATGAAGAATTATATCATGTATGTCAGAATGCAGTTATTTGTAGCAACAGTTCCAGAACTTCAAGTATTAGAGATTCGATTGCCTTTACAAAGATCATGAAACTTGTCACCTAAAGTGTCTTTGTTCCGATTGCAAAAAAATGCTTTCTTTGACAAGATCAGTTCCGATAAATGCTTGAAAAATAAATTAAAAAAAATATACAAGCTGTAAGGGACATCGTATCGAACACTGAAATAGTGTATTCAGAGAGACTCAGAATCATGAGTCGAAATCATTGGAATTTTCTGCCGGAAAATTCATAATTTTTAGGGTTCCTTACCTCAAAAGGTAAAAAGGAACCCTTATAAGATCACTTTCTTGTCCGTCTGTCCGTGTGTCACCACCGATTTTCTCAGGAACGGGTAGACCTTGCAAGTTGAAATTTATACCAGACACTGAAGTTTATGGTCCCGTATGTATAAAAATCAAGGTCCTGTATCAACACGATAAAAAGATATGGGCAAATTTCGATTTTCGTGAAAACTTGTAAGAACCAAAATTTACCTTAATTTTTAACTTTTTTTATTTTCCAGAATTTTCTCCTTACTTGTGTTTTAAGACCTTGCTTTTAACCAAAATTGACAATTCTAGGTCAACCGGAAGTACCCTATAGGTTTTGGGTAGAAAACCTATATGGTAGTTCCCGTTGACCTAGAATCACGAAATTTGGCAAACAGAAACGTCTTACAGCACAAATAAAGGAATGATTTAAAAAAAAAAAAAAAAGTTGAAAATTAAGATAAATTTTGGTCCTTAGAAATTTTCGCAAAAATCTACGTAAAATCTGGGTAGGTACGCAACACTCGGCGTACGAGTTCGACTCGTACCTGACCGGTTTTTTTAATATTCCATTTTTCTGGTTAAAATGATAAAAATGATATCACAATGAGTAGACAGAACATTTTACCGAAAATAATTTAATAAATTAAAAAAAAAACTGCAATGTAATTAATCAAACAGCCGAAGTGCGCGGACCGCCATTTTGTGTGAGTGTGCGTAGACTGTTTGCACGGAATACACATGTAGTTATTACTTTTGTGCGATACCTACGGGGAAAAAGACCTTAACTTATGACAGCTGATTGCATAAACAGTTTAATTTTCCGGCAGAAAATTCCAATGATTTTCGACTCACAATGATGGTCTGAATACACTATTTCAGTATTCGTTACGATGGCGACGTCCCTTACACCGCTTATTTAAGAATAAGGTTTACTTATAAATGAATTCATGAAATCATTTGGTTACATAGAGACATGAATGGAGACAGAAGCTTTAAAGATTGGTGGAGCGTGTGATCGGTTGCGTGAGTATAAGTCATATTCACTCTTTTCGTTTTTATCAGAGGCGAAATATGGTAATATTAAAAGAGTTTTAACACTGTTTTAAATAGTACTGTACACTTAGAGAGTGTACAGTACTATTCTCTCAGTATATCTAAGTATATCTCATATACAATGCAAATAAATATGAGGCAGGAAATATTAATGTACCCATTTCATTTAAGATGGATTTTTAAATTCAAATCTAATGGTTATCATGGAGGTGTATGTGATGTGTATAGGTGGGAGAGTAAACGGATTTTCGTGTCACTGTCATATTGGAGTGATGTGTCGTTGCGTAATGAAATGTGTTAAATGAGCAATCATGACGTTTCAATTTGTTCTCAGTCGTCGGAAGAGTGGCCTTGCACCGGCGTCATTGATGTTGGCTTCGAGACCAGCGGACACATTATCAAGGGCGCCTCCTGTTACAACGTAAGTCAGCAGCTTAGCATAATCAGGCTATGATATTGACTGCTTCGGTGCACAGTGTTCGTACGCGATTGCTGTGCTAAGGTCTAGGGTTCGATTCCCGGACTGGACTGGAACAAAAGTGTGTATGAGCTGCAAAATTTTTGTTTCGGAGTTTGGGTGTTCTCTATGTACGATATGTATCTATTTACAAAAAAAAGTATCTAAGTATTCTAGCAGTTAATCTACCTTTCATAGTACAAGCTCTGCTTAGTTTAAAACTAGATGGCGTTGTGTGTCAGATGTCCGAAAACATTATAAAGAAATATCTTATAGTATACGGGGATTATCTAATAAGCTCTTACATCTACCAAAAACTTGTCTGTCTCTCTTGTCTACTACTTTGTGTATGTTGAAATTATTATGAAACATTAACATTATTTCTTACACATCGTAATAAAGTTTTATTTTGTGACGGTAGCGGCGATGTTTTCTTGTCATTATTCGACCTTAAACAAATCAGAAATTCTTTTATAATATTACCTACGTTTTGTGTTAAAGCTTCTGCCGAACACATTGGTATAATCGCTTGTGACATGGCTACGTCGGCTTCGTGGCCGCGTCGTGTGGTGCGCTGACATAGTTTGGTTTATTGCATTGGACATCATCTCCGCGCGCGTCTGCCAACTCGAACAACTTGTGGAATGATAAATTTCATTTTGACACTCGTGCGCTCCGATAACGTATTGCAGGTGTTTGTTGTGTGAATATGTAAATAGGGACATATTGCCTCGTTACTTACACTTCGAGTGTTAGTAACGAGGATTATTAAGATATTTCGTAGGTACTTTTTAAATGTGTGAGTTCTCATTGATTTAAAAATCAGGAAGAAAATTATGGATGTATTATGACTTACATTCATTGTATATAATTAAATAGGGATTAACATGGACTGCACGGATGGCGTAGTGGTTTAAGCGGTGACCTTGCCGCTTCCTACTGCGCTGAGTGTTGTGGGTTCGATCCCCGCATGGAACAACACTTTGTGTTATTCACAAATTGTTGTTCTGAGTTCGGGTGTTATTTGTGTCCGTTTCATGTATGTTTGTTAAGTCCCTCGCGACACAGGAATGTATTCCTAATGCGTTACTTTTCTTTTCAAAATAAAGAAAAGAAGAGGAAAGAAAAGATGGATGAGAGTGAATCTAGGAAAAGTGAGAGCGGCGGTGAAATACTTTGTACGCGGTAAAGATTTTTTTTTGACCTTTCTATCATACTTTCAGTGACGTTCGCAGTTTTTTTTTTTGTGAATTTTGCTGGACATCGACTGTCAAGCAATTGACGTCACTTCAACCACGTGGACCGACATGATTTTCGTAATGATGTTTTAGTGTTAAATGTAGTGATCAATGAAGTTGGCTTGTATCTTTATGTTCATTATAGCAAATACTCTTCGTAGGTAGTGGATAAGTAAAGCAAGTCAATGCAGTTACTTCTCGATCGCGTGTTATAACGTTACAAGCGCATCACGAGGACCGAGCCAAGACGCGATGGAACACAGCTACTGCGAAAGCTACAGACTTCCCCGTACCTACAAATATTAAAAAAATACAATATACACAATGTACATATTTACATCTTCTTAATAAAGAAATTACTAAAATAAAACATATTTAGACGTTACGTCTATTTAACTAACAAGTTGCAAATACTTAACAGGAGAGCGTTTTTAAGTTTCAAATTGATCTGACGTTAAAAATCGGTTGTCTGTAAAGTCGGTTTACTGACGATAGTTGAACGTGACAACGTCATAAGAAAATACTGATGGAATGGTTGCATTTTTCAAAAATGTATTATCGTATACGGGTAGCAGCTGTCCACGCGGACGCATCGCTCACTCAAGTAGGAGAGAGACAGATGTCGAACGCTGCCGAACGCGGAGGCCGATTGTGCCTCTTTGTCATTCGTTCCGCGCTCTCACTTGCACTTCACGCCTTAAATGGAACGCCTCAGAGCGAGGTAACGCCGCATGAGTCATGTTTTTTCGTGCGTGCAGCCGGCTCCATCGAATTATAAGACGTTGTCACGTCAAAAATTATATTACGGCTTTTTACTGTTTATTGGTTATATTTTATTATTATTATATATTTTATTATATATATTATTATATTTTATTATATTTTATTATTATTATTATTGGTTATATTTTATTGGTTTATATTTAATATTGAATGTAGGCAGTTTGTAGAAGTGCTATATTATTATTATTATCTTTATTTCAAAGCGAAAAGAGCGAGTGTAGTTCACACACATGGCTGTGAGTTGCGCCGGTAATATGTGCCGCTCGCCTACTTAGCATATGCTATCGCGGCCCGTTATGAGCCGGCGAGCGCTGAGGACACGTACTGCTCTTAGGGCTGCTGCATACGCTAAGGACTAG